ACATTTGACTGCATGAGCGGACTGACACATGTACTGTACTATATATATATATATATATATATATATATATATATAAACTGTATATCTAATAAATCCACCTTCCATCCATTAATTGTTGATGTGTGAGTCGATGCACACATGGTTATTTAAACACATCGTGCAAACATTTCTGTTTTTTCATGTAGCTCCTCAGGCTAACATATCATCTCAACATCCAGCAGGTGTTTGCGGGAGATTAACCTTCAGGTCAGACTCCTGGCTTGCCAGAGCGGCCTCACCGTGTACAGATCAGTATAACTAGCTGACAATGTTGTTGAATGGATCGCGAAGGACCGTAGACTGATTAATAGTGTTGAAGACAACTGCTTCAACGAAGGTTTGAAAGTAATTCTTGAGACGTTCTACGAGCAACCGTCAAGATGCACGGCCGTGACTAAAATCTTTCTTGACATTTGTCACATTAATAATTCCGTTTGGATTAACCACAGATAAAAACAGATGTGAAACACAAACATCTACCTGCTGTTGTTTGTTCAATCCAGGAATATAGAGGAAAAAAAAAAAGAAATTGTCGTATTTAGTAATGTTGATTTATCTAGATTAATCATGATTAATTGTTATTTATCTGTAGATACCCTGTGATCAATCAGATTAAAACATATAATTTTAAAATCACATATATATACATATATACATAGATATGTACACGCATATGTACACATACAAAATATATATACATACATATATATATACATATATTGCACTATATATGCACTATGTATTCACCTTTATCCTTATTGACATATTTCTAGTCTGTGATGGGATTGTTTTGTACCATAAGAAATAGTACACAGGCACACAGACGGAGAGTGAACACTGTCTGTTTGACAACACTGTGGCAGTTATACATTATTAAAGATTTAAACACAAAGTGCTGAATATGAACACGTGCAGGTAGACTGAGGGAGAAGGAAAAAAAGAGCTGCGTTCAGACATGTGAGGTGAAAGCAAGACATAAAGTGGGTCAAAATGACTGGATGGGGGAAAATAAAAGAAGTTGGACAGATAAAAAAGTAAGGCTAAGAGTGAAATTGACTTCTGAGAAGAGAGAAAAACACAGAGCGAGACAGTAGGCAAAGAATTGATGAAACACAGAGAAACACATAAAGGAATCCCCATGATTCTGCGGGGACATTTACACCTTCTCCATGAATCACAAATTATTATGTGCGATGTGTTCTCCCCTGCTTACCTTCCACTGCAGATATTTATCATGTTTCCACCAACATTCCACAGAGAAATCACAGTCTGGCACAGTAGATCAATACAGCTACAAGTTACGTGTGCTACAAGTTACGTGCGTGTGTGTGTGTGTGGGTGTGTGTGTGTGGGTGTGTGTGTGTGGGTGTGTGTGTGTGTGTGGGTGTGTGTGTGTGGGTGTGTGTGTGTGTGGGTGTGTGTGTGTGGGTGTGTGTGTGTGGGTGTGTGTGTGTGGGTGTGTGTGTGTGTGCGCATGAGCATGAAAATTGTGTACTGTAACAATCAGCTGCAGACAGACGGATGTTACAGACAAAGCATGCAAGAATTACACAATGATAATGGTAGGAAACATTAAAACAGAAGATGGCAACGGACGATAAACAAAAAGACTCTTTAAGGCAAACACGGACAAAAAAAAAAATCAATATGAGAACAAATAAAAACGTGCGGTAAATGGTCACAGATGAAACGACATTGTTACCACAGGTAGAAGATGACGTAGTCGACATAACTACCTAGGAAGGCCAGGACACAGATGCTGATGGCAAACATGGAGCTGAGGCTGAGGCTGTTGCCGTCCTCGTGGAACATGGCGAGCGTCACCTCGCAGTGACGTCCACGGTAACCCTCCGTGCACTGGCACGTGTAGCGGGACGGAGAGTGCGCCACACATGTGCCATGGCGACACGGCCGGCTCGCGCACAACGTATAGACACACACTTTGCCCAGGGGGCTTTCTTTGGTCAAGTGGCCTGCAGGGCACCTGTGCAGAGGAGACAGAAGTGTAAAGCAGGTGAGAAACACTAGGGGGAGGCAGGGGGGGGATTCAGATGAAAGGTAGAGTGGAATCCACACCGCAGACCACTGCTGACGGTGTAAGAATAGATCCCTCAGGAGGAAGACCTCATATCAGGTTTAAAGATATGTTCTTTGAAGGTCACATACTTTCAAGAGTACTTTATACTATATATATATATATAAACACAAAAAGCGACAGGCTAAGATTGCCTTTAGTCTTTACGGCACTAGTACCGCAGTACTATTTGTACAAAACATCCCCTGTAGATCATTCACCCCTTCTCCTCTCAGTGCGGTGTGTCCTGAGGCTGTGCTACATTCACAGAATATGGATATTCAGTGTTGAATCACAGTCATGAGACATGGTAATGAAAATGGACAACTAAGACAAACCAGTCGAGCTGCCATCTGCTGGACACACTTCATACTGTAAACACTAATGATCACTTTCTATGGTCACAAATCCAAGTTTCTTATCTGACAAATTTACCTGTAAATGGCCAGAGGTGTCAGTAACATGCATTTTTTAAATCGTGATGAAACCTCCTTGTTTTTTTACAACAAATGTTTTGAATAACAGTGTTGACTAACTGCTGATGGATAGAGGTGAATTAGCAGAATCACACAGTAATTCACAGTAAGGGATTCCATGTTTTCAGGTGTGTTTTGACAACATGGACTGGTCACTCATCATCATCAGCTTTACTATAGTGCTGTTACATCCACTACAGGACAACTTGGTTTATGTTATTTTTGTATATTTTGGTGTTTAGTTTTTAGTTTTGTGGGTTTTTTTTTTTTTTTTTTGGTTTTGTTTTTTTTTTTTTTTTGGTTTTGTTTTTTTTTTTTTTTTTTTGGTTTTGTTTTTTTTTTTTTTTGGTTTTGTTTTTTTTTTTTTTTACACACAGTAACCCTAAAGCAGTGATTCTTAACCACAGAGCCACAACCCAAACTTGGGCAGAATTCATTGAGAAGCTCAGTTAGAACAGAACTTCTTTTTAGAGACTGGAACTTCATTCAACACTGTAATCCCACTTTCAAGTAAAACGCTCCACTGTATAACCAAGCTCTGCCTTTTTCACACCTATTTGTTAAGGAGCTGGAATATTATTGTCCATTTGTGCTTCTGTTCCTGGTCACTTTTAGTTCTAAAAAAGCTCTGTTTTGGGGTTTTTTCCCTCAGGGAAATATCTGGTGCTTCAGCTGCTAAACGCTCCACTATATAAACCAGCTAATAAACTTGTAAAAAACTGCAGTTGTGTGCTGAGCAGGCAACATTAGGAGGATTCTAAAGCTATTCTCTAAAGTAGATGAAACGTATTAAAAGCACAAGGACAGATGTGGCTGAAAAAAGTCAGTTCAGTTCAGATTCATTCTACAGCATACCACCAAACCACCTTTATCACGCAGCACTCATTATTTGGTTTCTCATGTATATTAAACACACACTATAATTGTTGGTTAATGTTTTAATGTTTCAAATGTGGCTTAATTTCACATTCTGCCCTTCGCGTAGACGCCCATCTGTTCTTTGAAGATCTACACCGTAGAGCTTTATTCAACGTAAGGTGTACAGCTAAGCTGTATTTATGTGTATTTATCGGCCTGGACAAGTTAATACCTGCCTGTCCTGATGACATGCTTGTTAGCTGTTTAAGTACATGATTAGACTGTTAAAAACAATAGACTTCATAGGTTTCTGCACTAAAACCAAAAACAAATTTGCATTTTTGCAGGAGTAAAAAACTACAGTAAATATAAAGATAATTTATTCACAATTTACCTACTCACCGTGAAACCTGGTCCTGTTTAGTTGAACACAGCACTGACACACAAACATCACAGTGAGTTTTTATGGCCATCTGCTACTTGTATTTAATTATTGTTTTAGACGGACAGGGAAACTATTTAAAGTTAAAAAATTATATTTTCCAGACCAATTACAGGAAATTGGATAATTTTCCCTGGCACAAGATTATCTCCCCTGGAACACTACACAGTGGTTGAGAATCACTGGATTATGGAACGGCAACTTATAGCTCAACTGTTTCCCTTCTTTCCCGCTGTTTGCCAGAGCTAATTAATTGGCAGAATACAACAGTGCACAGCATTCAACCTTATGTGACCCACCTTGTAGCAGTTTCAATATGTCAGCCATTTCCATGTAATAAATCTGTACCTAAAAGGCATACGTGGTTCTTAACATCATTTGTAAATATAATTAGCAACTTGGGAGCTGGTGTTATATTTATTATAAGCAGGGCTCAGGCAGCTCTGCTCCAGATACTGTATGTGTGTAAATACCACGCCTGGCTTCCTACTTCTCTTGTGAAGTTATTCATTGAGTGTTTTCACAGAACCTGCATTCGTGATGTCTCCAGAGATCCACACAGACCAGGGGAGGTGAGCAATGATGTTTCCGACAGGCTTCTGAAGAGCAGCCGACAGAGACGCCCTGTGAAGTGACCACGTGAAGATCCTCTGAAAGTTGCTCTCCATCCAGGGAAATGCGGTGGCTGTTAAACCACACATCTCGCAAACAACCTGGCAAAACAGAGTAGAAAGGAGAGAATGCGAGAGGGGGAAAAAAAAGTTTAGAGAGAGTGTAAAAATGCCAAAAGACACAATAAAAAACTAGTCCTCAGGCTACATCTTTAATGAACTCACATTTAAGCCACAGCAGGGGTATGAACTCAAACATATACACGTAGACACAAAGACAGAGACACACCTGCAGACCGATGCATGAAAACACACAAACAGCCTCAAGCTGAGCTATCAGCATGGGTAGATTTTTTTTGCTGGTTAGTTTTCTGTCACAGCTGGGAGTACGGGGTGAACATATCATTTAAATACAGATAAGAGGCACTGACTGATTTGAACTCATCTACTTGAACCTAAGGGTTCAAAATACCTCAGGGCCGGGCTGTGAAGTGTGAACCCAGCAGTGAGAGGTAAGGATGAGATCTAACCCATTTAGTCCAAGCTAACTTTATTAGGTGTTTGCTAATTTAACTGTTGAAGAGCTCTTATGTTATTCAACTTTGGCAAACATGTTTGTGTCCATATTATTATTATTATTATTACTATATCGATCCCATATTTGGGAAATTGTTGTGTTAGCAGCAGATATGCTGTTTGCAGGCCCTAGCAAGCGCCAAGCATGTGGTTCCTCTGGGAATCAACCCCAGGACTCTCTGCTTGCCTCAGGCAGGTGTGCTAACCTCTACACTGTGGAACCGACGATCATTGTCCTCTTATTGTACAAACACTAACAACTTCACTAACAAATTTGATAGGCAGACACTCACCGAGGAAACTTCGGTTGTGTCCTGATGGAAAAGAGTTTCCAATCATCACCAGCGATGGATCAATTATGATTTCTTGGCTCCGACCAGGAGAGGCTGTGACTTGTCGACGCCCTCCACCACCATCTAGATACAGCGTGAACTCTCTCCCGTATCGATCCAACTGCACTTCATGCCAGTCCCCGTCGTCCAGACGATAGTAGGGCAGAGAAATGTTGTAGTTGCCATCACCGAGGTTGTAGAAGACCGCCAAGAGACCCTGCACAACCTGAATAAAAACATTGTAGTTCATTAAATTGAACTTTAAAAGAATAAAAAGCATAAAATACATTTTTAAACACGCTTTCAAAACGGGTGCAATATCTGATCATGACTTTATTAGCTTTGATTTATATGACTACATAAATGAGGTTATCTGATAGCTGACACGAAATCAGCCAAAATCTACAGCTCCCTCATGGCGTTCCGAGTTGACGGGCGAAAAATGTAGAACACAACGACATATTGAGAAGTAGATCACATCCCGTAGAGAAAATGTCATGACAGATAAGCCAAACAAGTTGTTGTTAGATTTAGCTGCTCAGAGACGACTCTGTAGCGAACAGGGCCAGAGAAAAGGCTTAAAAAATGTACAGGTTAAAATTAATAGGGCAATTTCTTAGGCACGATGCTGTGCTGCGCCAGTGCACACATCACTGCATGGCAGAAGGAAGAGTCATCCCGAAGGGAAGGTATACAAGAAACAACAATTATCTTCAGCAGTTAAGGTTGAGAGAACACAATGGTCTCCACCAATGAGGGGCTCCCATAACTGCAGCTTGTACATGTCCAAAGCTTAATTGGAAACAGTGGGGCAAGATTATTCACTTTCAGCTCATTCGGCAATAACTATTGCTCCCTCAGCATGGATATTCCAAATGTATCTCCCCTACTGGACACACACACACACACACAAACACACACACAAACACACACTTGCAGCAAGAGAGAGAGCTGACGTTGCTCTGCGAACTTCCTCAGCCATGCACTCAAGACCACAACAATAATGAGCACAGAACAATGGATTTAATCAATAGTCAGGAAAAAAATTATTATTATTTTAAATAAAATTTCTACAGTTTCCCCAGAAAAGTGCAGTCACCACTAAACACAAAATGTCAAAGTGAAATTTAAAATTGCGGAGACCTATGGAGGCTAGTCTAGTTTAATTAGATAACTAAAAAAAAAAAACAAATATCAGAGATAAATCTACTTCAGAGTTGGTAGTTACTGAAAGAGTGGTGCATAAAAGTTTAAAGACCTTCTTCAGAGACAGCATTAGCAAATGTTCAGAACTTCAGAGTCCTTGGAGAGAAAATGCTGTTTATTCCAAGATAAAGTAAACCCTCTTAACCTTTGTGGTTATTTTTCCCATGTAAACAGTATCCAATATCTACCCTGAAGGGGAAGAATGGGGAAGATAGAGACCGTCCCTCAAATTGTTCTCTGCAAACACACAAAGAGTTTTAAAGAGCTGTGCGAAAATCCGAGCTCTAAAAAGTGTGCTTCAGTGTGTAGTCGCAGGAAGACATCAGAGGTTTTCATAAATCGTAAAGGCAGGAGTATTTTTCCTGTCCTGTCACTGTGAGGATGTACCAAAGGAAGACAATGTTGGTTTCCCCTTATGTGGTTTACAGACTCCCTAAAAGAAAAAGTGTTCACCGATCCATCCTTCCATTCATTCGCTTCTCTTTAATTCTTTTCAGAGACACGTGTGTGTGTTTGGTGTGCGTGATGCCACTAGAGGGCATGCAAGAGAAACAATGTGATAGAGTTTAGAATTATTAAATAAATTCTGGCGATGAGGGAATTTACTTTATTTGGTTCAAGTAGCTGGAATCGTTAGTCGGCTTGCTTAATGATTCTGTGAAATATTGGGGAAATACATGCAAAATACAAAAACATTGAGCCATACTTTATGGAATTTATTTCCATTTGAATTTCATTTATTAACAATGTGCTGTATTTCCTGTGCTACTGAAAACTGGTGGCACCTTTCAGTCTGAAACTTTAACAAAGTTACTCTTTGTTCCAGTCCCAGGTGTTACTAAGTCAGACTGAGGTGCCATCAGTTTCATTAATAATTTAAAAATGAGGGTCCACAGGGAATTGGAGACAGGCTGATTTCCATGACAATAAAAAAATGTGTCTGCCTTAGGTTTCTCTCACACAAAAAATTCTGTTTTTTGTGTTTATTTTGTAAAAGTTGTTATTTGTAGTGGTTTTTTAATTTCTCCCGAGGAATTTTTTTTCATTCAGATTCAATTTTTCTAAAATCAAATAAAAAAAAGATTTAAAGTATGAAATAGTAATTTGTGAATTCTTATTAATTTTCATCCTTAATCCTCAGTCTAAATCTCTGTAGAAAAAACAAGAGCATCAGGTTTCCTGCTGGGAAACACTGGATGCTCTTCATGTAAACCCCAACCTGGTATTTTGGGACATTATATATATATATATATACCGTGTCATGGAAATATATATATATATATATTTCCATGGCAATAAAAAAATGTATATATATATATACATATATATATATATACATAATTTATATTATTGTATATATAAAGTTAAGACCGTATATGTGTGCTCATTTTTATGTTATTTCCAAATATAACATACACACATATGTGTATCCAGTGTGTATACCACTGTGGGGGTATCTGACCCAGAGTGCCTAGTAGGCTTTGAATGCCATTGGCTGTGAAATAAAACACCTGGCATTAAAAGGTAAAGCTCTGAGGGAAGCGTTTACTCAGTGCTTGTGTTTACAATCAGTCTGTCAGTGAGACAGACAGTTTGACAGGTAACAAAGCAACCTATCAACCCATGAACATGTGAGTCAGGGGTATTGTGTATGAAGGTGTGAAGTGAAGTAGACGTGAATACTACAAAATCACACCCCGCGAGCACCACTCTACCACCGCTCCGGCACTGGGAGCAGTGTGACTTTGGGTTTACCACTCGAAGCAAGCAGTGTCAAAACCCTCAAGTACAGAGCAAGAGTTCTGACTTTGATTCAAGGAGACTCTGCCCTGAAATTACTGCATGGTCTTCCTGAACCGAGACTGAGACAGGAGATGGAAATAACCCTGCACAAAAGATGTCTAATTTTTCTTTTTCTCAAATGGCAGAGGCTTAACTTCAGCCCTGTGCAAATGTACTTAAAGTCCTTGTTGAGAAGATGCATTTGTCAATCACCAGCCTCGTCAGTATCCACCCATATGTCTCCAACCCTGATATTAATCACTCTCTGTTTGACAAGAGTTTGTGGCAATAATACTGCAAGCCCTAATGATTACTTTGCCTCTCACAAACAATCAAAGCTGTCAGGGTGAGGGGAAGCCATGACTCACCTCCAAACGTAGATATTCATTCTGCTCCTGGGAGTGGAGACTGAAGAGGACACCGGCAGCAGACCGTGTCCGCACACCCAGCTGAACTCTGGTCTGACGGGCTGGGGGAGACCACGAGAGCTGGAACTGGATGTGGCTCCGGCCGTCGAAAGAAAACTCTGGTGCCACTTGTCAATCAGGAACACAAAAGAAGAAGTTGTTGAATGAATCTGTCATGTGGGAAAAACAAAGCAGTACCAGAGCGAGGACATGCTGTTCTAGCACTAAGTACTAAAGGAGGTTTATCTTAACTCAGCAGCAACGTGACATTTTTTATATATAGGTATCTCATTTCGTCTGTAAACACTTGAATTGGCATTGCAAATGTTTCTTTGCAAACATTTGCAAACTCATTCAACTTCTCCCCTTCATCCATTTCAGGTTCACAGGGGAAATTAGAGCCAGTCCTAGTAGTCATCGGATAAGAGTGGGTCAGTTTACCAGTCTTTCATAGGGCCACATACCCAGAAGGCAGACCAACTCCTTCACAGACAACAGAGTGCAGTACCATGTTTTTACATTTCACATTTAGAGGGGCGCTGTTTTACACACCATAAGACACCCTCTCAAATAGACAAAGGAGACATCAGTGTTTTTATTTAAATTATAGTAATTTTCTGAAAAACGTGAGGAAGCCCTGCATCCCTAGGCCTCCCCAAGAAAATACCACTGGTCATTGGTGTCCAAATGTCCAGCATGTTTTTGGACTGAGGAATGAATTCAAAGTACAATTTCACAAAGAACAGAACATGTGATCTCCATTATCAGTTACAGGAGGGCCAATCAGTATTCTTTCTTGCTGTAAGGCAATCTAATCTAATCTAATCCCAAACAATTCCAAATGTTTACCTTGATCACACCGCGGACCTGTGAACCCGAGCTCACAAAGGCAGCTGAAAGAACCCCGCTCGTCATGACAGTGGCCCCTCTTGCCACAGGAGGAACGCTGCCCTGTGTTGGTGCACCGGTCATCAATAAGAGAGCAGCCTGGCACGGTATTGAGGGATTCAGCTGGTGAGCCAAGGTCATAGAGCTGCAGTGATAAAGAAGAAAAAGAAACCAGTGTGGAGAGGAACATAATTTATCAGTGGAATAGAAGTCAAACAGATGTCTTTGTTCTTGCAGTCATTTTAGATGAATGACGAGCGATTGAATTGCAAAAAGAAAAAAATGGTCACTGAATATCATTAAAGACGTCCAACACATATCTCATTTTTGACAAATTATGTCTTTGTTTCTCTTTTCTGAAAAAGGGCATTTTTATTGTTATATTGTTTCATATTTATTTTTCATTTAAATGGAGAAGGGAGTCAAACAAAGTGCAAAATGACATGTCACCTCATTTACTTGTCCTCTTTTGCAAAAGAATAATTTTGGAAAATGTTTTGAACACACACAGTATGTTTATAAAATGTTACATTATTATGCATCATAAATGAAAGTGAAACTTGGTCAAAGAACCACACATGAGTTAAGAACACTTTACTCGATGCACAACTCCTGCCAGTGGCCCTACGTGAAGCCATTATTCAAGGTGGTGGTGGTAATGGAGCAAGAAACAAAGCAATACCCCCAACAAACTGCAGAGAAATAATTGGATGCAAACAATGCCTGTTCTGCAAATGCTTTGTGGGAAAGGGAATGTCCTCAACCTGTCTGACAAAGTCGTGTCTCGTTGATTAACAGAGAAACGATGAATGTTTGTTTTCAAAGACTGTTTTAAGTTTCCTCCTGGCCATCCATAGTAGATGGAATAGAAACAGTGGTTTGCAAAGCTACTCTGAGTTCCTGTGGGTTGCATATTGATAACAAGGATCTGAGACGTGCAGAGATTAATCAGGAGCACAAGTGAAAAGCAAGGGCCTGGATTATTTATCATGTCAGTGGCGCATCCTTGTGGTCAAATTCAAATTCTAACATGAAATCTGGCCTTTGGCCGTCTTAGCAGGTAGAGAATAAAAGCTAAGCCAAGAGCGTATATAATACAGTATATTCATCTACATTCAGGCCTCATAAACAGGCCTGACGCTAATGTGCACATAAAACTGATAAATGCTTCACCTTGCTGTCCACGAGCAGGTTCCTTATACAGCCAGTGAAGTGTTTGTGCTGCAACTGTGGATATTCATAAGATATGTTCTCACTGACCCCTCCGAGCTGTAATACATAACTCCCATTCAGATACCTGTGAATGAAAAAATAGAGAAAAATCTAAATAAAACCACGACATTGTCAGATCATATACACACAGTGAAATATAATGTGAAATAAAAATCTCCATATATAAGATTTCCCCGCTGTTGTTATTTTGCTGTTCCTGTTTGTTTCCCCATATTTTAAAAACATACAGCACTTGTTTGCTTTAAAAAGGGAACTTTTAAAAAGTGAAGGTGGCTGCACAGATGAGAGGAAACAGTTTCAAATGAGCTTGTTAAGAAGTGGCACACTCCCCATTAGAAACAGTAACCAACTGTACCGGTAATTAGACGAGAGGAGGGTGGACACTCGCTACATGTTTTTTAAGCTTCTTAACAATTAAGGCAATTAAGAATAAAACACAAAAATGCAGTTCTTGTGCAGATTTTTGTTTACACAACAAAAAGAAATCCACTCTGACCGGCCGAGCTAAAGACGAGATAAACAAACCTAGCTGTGGGTAAAAAAACAAACAAACAAACAAAAAAAACAACCAAAAACTGGGCAATTTGCAGAAATGTGGTCAGGGAGGTCAGGTGGCATCTCAAATATTACTCCAGAAGATTCTCAGTTTTCCTTCCCTCCAGAGACAGAGCTACTGGCAGGCTGAGAAGCTGAACTGTGACCCTAAAGAAGAATGATTCCATTCTGAAACATTTTAACGCTGTATTAGACACCACTCACTGAAGGGACTGTATCAGAAGTGGAAGAGAGAGACGACATCCACTGGTAGCACATTATTAGGAGCTGGGATATTCATAGATAAAAAAACAACAACTATTCATTCAACTATTGTAAGAGAAAATGTAGGACAAATGTTCAACCCTGTTTGAACAAAAAGAAAAAAAAAAAAAAACTATCCCTAAACCACACATACTGCTGCTGTGACGGTTAGCGTTTCATTTTGTACTGTTTAACCACCATCTAAAACTCTTTTCCCTCTCAAGTTTCTAACTAATTAAAAGAGATGTGTTGGTGTGCAGAACCAGCCAGGTCCTTGACCAGGGCCAACTCTGGAGTCATTGGCTGCAGACATAGCACTTACATTTAATTATCAATGTGGAAGATGTTTTATTTAAAAAAAACCCAGACTATTTCTGATTTCACTTTTAAATCAATGTCAACAGAAATATTACATTCAGGGTTATGGGTGGTTTTATGGTTGTTTGTCCTAAGATTAATAAAATATGGTGAGTTACGCTTTAAAAGAGTTACCTTTAAACTACAGTATTATATCAAACTGGGAAAAAATGTGTCAATATCTGTAGATTCTAGAATTGACTTTTACAATATGTTGGTTTTTTTTATCCTTTCACTAAGAAACAGACCGAAATTCAACTCCTATACTGTGTTCTTTCCATTTTCTTCCCTGCTCTGGATGCACAGCAGCAGCTCCACAGCATCAGAGTTTGTCTTAACTCATCCAATGACATGTTTTTACAAAACAGAAAATCTTTTTGACACCTTAGTGTCAGCCTGAAACACTTCAGTTAGACTAAAAAGACACTCCCAGTCATGACAGTTATTTTAGAGTTCCTCAGACATACAGGTATTTCTCACCTGTAATTAGTTTTTTTTATATATAGTCTCTGTAATTCTCCAGTCTCTGACTCTGTATTATGAGAAATCTCTCCAGCTCGAAGGAAGAAAGAGTTAGGATTAACCTTTCTGCTTTGACATGTTTAAGTTTAGATAAAGTTCCTTGGTACGTGGTGGATATATCTCATTTGGTCTATGGATCAATAAATCATTGCTAAATGGGGAAAATTGTTTGTGTGTGTGTGTGTGTGTGTATAGATAAAATGTCCAGGACAAATAATTCTTTGATGAAATTCAGCTGGGTTAAAAAACATCCTTGTCAGTCAAGGTTCTGAGAAAAAGAATATTTTTGCTCACAACTGCACAGACGGACGGACAAAGACCAACTGACTGAAGGGAAATCACTATCTGATTAACACAACTTGGTGAATTAGTTCCTCAATACTTTGTGTTTACAGTGTTGTTGTAACAGTAAACAAACTATCTTTTGTTATTCATATTTACTAACTAGTGCTGCTACGGTGGCTGCTAATGTTTTGTTCAATGAAGAATTGTTTACCCCTGTGGGGGCAGTTTAGGCACTGGCCCCGTGGGCCTCGCTTGTATTTGGTTTTAAAAACAACATAGGAAGGCCAAAATGAGAACTTTAGAAGATTAGTGGTTGCACCCACAGGAAAACCACGGAAGGTTCTCTGGGGATCTCAACAACCACACCGTTGGTAAGTTTACCCAGAAATTCAAGGCTTCTTAAAAATATGTAGCCTTATTTCCTAATCCTATTTTATTTGTTTATTAAAAGGTTTAATATTTATTTTGGGATTTAATGTTTTCAGGTTTACCGGCTTGTTCTAACATTCAGAGGAACCTAGGTTTTGTGTACAGTGTGGGTGTGAACAGTTCCATTTCCACGGTGGTCTTACTTGTCCTTGTTTGGAGTGACCCCACGGACTTCACAGGACGAGCGGTCTTCTGTCATAGCCCATGAGTCCACGCCTTCACTTTCCATAACAATGGCACTTGAACATTGATCCAGGGTGAAGCGCACTTCCTGTGATTTGGATTGGAGTGAAAAGAGGTCATCGTCCGTGACGGTACAGTAGCCAGACACTTATTACGAGATTGCGAGCGATACATGTGATGTTATAAATCTCTCTCCTCACCTTACTGTTGCTCTTCACATCCAGCCGATGCCAGCGCCTGTCAGATACCCCAGGGTTATTTAACTGGAGAACCAGTGTCCCCGAACCATGATTAATTTTCAGACTGGGTATCCCACCAATCAGCTCTGGGGAACATGTATGGTCAAAGTTCAATCTTTGCAAATTCAAACATAGAAACATCCACACGTTACATTTCAAGGCCTGATTGAAATATTCGGCATCCCTAAATAACTCTTGCTGTTCTGTGGAGCAAAGAAATGACAGTAATTGCCTACACTGGCGAAAGGTACAATCAAGGTCAGGACAACACTGTGATGGAATGCATTTCAGAAAGGAGAAAATGTAAATAACTAGTTTGTGGGGGCTTGTGGAAACCTCAGGGGATGTATGAAAGCATCTCACTTCAAAACAAACGGAACACGAAGAGAGAGGACAATGACAATAACACAGCTGGTGACAGCAGGGAATCTGGATATCACCGAAAAAATAGGGGTTGGAAAAACGTCTGGAAAAATATCAATAAAAGGACGGGGCTCAAGCAAAGCAGTGAGCCATGAATGACCCTAGGTTATATGAGTGTAGGTTTCTGAAATTAGACATCAGCAGCAGAGGGTTTTTTTTATCTCATTTTAAATCAACATGAGACCTATAAATGGAACTAAATTCATCTTGAACATAATCGGGTAGAGGCGGAAATCTCAAAGGAATGCGAAAAATTACAACTATTTGCATGGAAGATAACCGATGGCAAATTACAGTGTTTTAATACCATTTGGGTAAAGAGAATAATAAATGGAATCTGTACGTGGGAGTGAGAGGAGATATTCAGATTTCATACTCTGAATATAGCTACAGGCACTGAAGATGGCACCACCGGAATACTTCAGATTGTATACTACTGTGATGGCAGTTATTCATCAGTTATCATCAGAGCCATTGTTTGATGTATAAATTATCACTAATCATCAATAACAATTAAGCCCCTTCCCTGTTACACAGCTGAGATCTGAGAGGTTTAGATTTAATGTCCTCTACTGTAATATCACCATAGTTGTGTGTGTGTGTGTGTGTGTGAGAGAGAGAGAGAGAGAGCCTTGAAGCTCTTTCTACAAGTGACATAATGAAAGTTGGATTCAACTTTAAGTTCAGAAAGCAGGTTTTTGTGTCAGCCTTGAGAAACGCCGACCTCGTGTCTTTGTCTGACTGCCACAGTCTCTGACTTGTGTAGCCTTTCTTTCCCTTGGTCAAACCTTTACTGCAACAGTGAGAAATATATTTAGTTTTAGAGACTAACAATTACCCACAGAATCTCAAGGTTGCATTTCGACACACAAAGGCAGTAACAATGATGCTAAATCTGGGTAATTATAATGATAATTATACATTTTGATATTTAAAGGACATTTAAAACCCTGGGCTTGCAAAAAAAAAAAAAACAGATTCAAAAGGGAAAGTTGTAAAGAACAGTCTAGACTACAAAAAGGAAAAGGTACCACAAGTATCATCCGACACTGCTGACCTCAGACTACAGGTCCGGGGTTTGGAGCTATGGCAGGTCAGAGATGTGAGTTGGTGTTTGACCACCTCAGCACTATAGTGTGCTAAGCTGTGTGTTGCTGACTCTGACAGTGTTGTGACCAAATTTAAATAGCTGTATTTTGGTGCCTAATCCACCTAAATACAAATTTTCCAGCAAGGTTTTAAATCTGTATTTGTAGTCACCTCAGAGGAAGGGTTTGGTTCAAAAGGTTGCTTCTTCTTTAATGATTAGATGGTAATTCATGGTAATTCTATTTGAATTGATTACTGCCACCTCCTGGGTCTATTTCCCATTGGTAAACACTGCCACCTACAGGTTAACACCTCACAACCTTCTGCAGAAATATTGGGGAAATCCCAGGTAGAGGGCAGTGCTGATGCATCTATATATAAAATAAACAGGCCCCACTTTTAGTGCTCCATTAAAAAATCAGCATTTCTGTGTACTAAAAAAAATCACTTAATTGCAAGGCTCACTCTTTAGCTTTACAGTGAATGACAATAAACTGTGTGTGTATGACACTGACTACCTTTGTTTTTTACAGTCTTTGGGTGTATGCACACACACACAAACACACACACTTAAATTGCAAAACTGTGCAAGGTTCCGTTAAGTGCTTATAGTACAACTCAGGGGAGTCAGTTCCCCCATCCCTCTGCGGCACACTAACAAACAAAATTTGTCTCATATATCTTGTTAGGTATCACCCGGTAATAAAGCGCACAGAATTAAGTTCCACGTTTTAGTGCAGTACCAGTGAACAGGTCCCACGGCACACATCTAAATATTCAGTTTCATTCTTTACCTAGAGCCATAGAGTCCTCAGCATCTCCAGGCATGAGAGTGGCTACTGGGCCAGCATACAATAGCAGACCATCGTCGTCCCCCGTCATAAACTCAAGTGAAATATGGCTATCAAAGCACGACCTTATGGGGGGAAACCAGGCATAGCCGTCACCAAGGAAACTGAGTCTTGTCTGCTGACAGTCAGGCCCCTCTAGCTGTGGAGGACAGTGGCATCTGGAACATCAGGGAGAAAAAGTAGAGGAAATCAAGACAAAACAAATGGAAAAGAAAACAATTGCCATTCTGACAGAAAGTCAAACTGCCCAGTGTCTGCAGCCGTCTGAGATGGGCTTGTTGATATACAGTGGACACCGTGGCTGGTCAAATGAGAGGGGTGATCAATCGACAGGAGCAAAATCCCTAAATGCATGAAATGAGTTTTTTTTCATTATACTAATTAACCATCAATAACATTGTCCTATCCCTCACACACCGGCGCTGCCCCCTGGAGACCGCTCACGCTTAACACGTCACATCTCCTTTGTTAGGGGATAATTAATTTTTATTCCTTTCACTTTTCTTAGCGCTGCACCATCAGTGCTACTCTGCACTTATTTCATGCACACCTGCCCTCCTCACAGTTCTAACCCGACTCATACAGTGTGGGGGTAAAATCGCTATTATTTTGAGAACAGCTCTCTGAGAAGGATGATCGCTAATAATACAACGCCGTCGTAAAGAAGGGTTTCACACACTGATAAAATACAACCTGTTCAGTCACAGCTAAGGTAGGGATGGATGTTAGAGGATGGTTGATCTCATCCTGTCCCCTCCATTGCAGGCATGTGAGACAAGCTGGCTGTGCTGATAATGTCAAAGCCATCTATTTTCAGGCTGTGTGTACTGACGGCTGTTAGACGCTGTTTCTTCACATCGCTGTTTATTCTGCGAGAGAGGTAACACCTGTCAGGAATACTGATCCATTTACGGCAATAGTGACATCTTCAGAAGACTACAGCTGATTGTATAAATATGCATGTGCCTGATTCACTACCTGACTTCCATGTTACTCCTGAGAAAAATGTCCAGCACAATCAAGGAGGTGGATTCATGTTTCCCCCTCTTTTGACTGACAATATCTAATCAAGTGGAGGTTGTCTGCTCTGACTTTTGACAGAACACAGAATAAATGGAATACATTCACACAAGAGCACATATAGGATAGAGACATTTCTCTCAAGGGCTTTTCGCACCAGTGTGCACGGCAACTTAAGTCGAGAAAAACTCAAGAGACAAAAGTGTAAACAATGAGATCCATACATTTTATCTTTGAAGACTTATCTTTTAAATGCATGTCTCCGTAAACAGAATCAAATGAGATTTAGAGAAGTTGTGGGGGGGTTGTGGTAATCCCTGTTCCCTAAAGTTATCTTAAGTGGACATACTAAGCGTCTGCACGAACTGAACTGCATGCTGGGTTTTTTGTGATAGAGGAACGCTGGAAAGTTTTCACAACAAAGTAAAGGCTTGTAGGGTCTAAACCTGACGGTGCAGGCTCTTTTTTCTCTTTACTGATAAGTTTAACACTTAAAGCAGTGCACAAGAAATGTGAAGTAAACAAAAAACAGTAAAGCCCCTTTACAATTTGTTTTCTTCCAATTGCTCTAAAAAGACAAGGGTTATGAACTGATCTATCTATTAACTCTCATCCTTTGAAAGAAACAAAACAAAATCTAAGTAATTAACTGATTTTTTTCCCCAGAGTATATAGCTTTAGAAATGTTTCTGGGTACTATACCTGGGGGCCCATGTTCCTGATGTAATCATGGCTTTCTGTACTATTGTTCACCTAAAGCCAACAGATGCAATGAACCAGGAATAGTCATTTTTCATGATTATTTATGATCAATCGTGGTAAACTAATGTTCCTAAATATGATAAAAAAATTAAGAAAAACTATATATATATATATATATTAATAAAATCTTTCACTATCTTTATCGCTGGTTAGAGAGTTGACAACATTGGAAGTGTGTTAAGAAAAGCAGATTAATTCGATCTTCTTCATCACCAACTCATTTAAAAACACTGTGATTCCTTGGTAGATTGTCAATATGTCAGGCAGAACTAAGAAACTCCTATTTCTGTTGTCTATCTAACCTTTCACCGAACACTTGCAGGGATTTCTCTCACCTGTATCCATTCTGTGTATCAATGCAGGTCCCCCCATTGAGGCAAGGGTTAGTGGCGTAGAAGGAGCAGGGTTGGTGGGTCATTTCTCTAGCAGAACAACCACAGACAGCCGAGGACGTCACCCTCACTGAGACCAGGGAAAAAGGGCCAGAGTCTAGCAGGGTGGACGAGTCACCGATGCTCAGCTGTGTGGAGCAGCCTCTGGATTTCTTGCAGTCTGTGTGCAAGCACTCATCTACCTGCAACTGACTCACGTTCACATGCAGCACTGACTGCAGCTTTGGAGAGTCAGGGAAGGTGAGAAAAACAAGAAATAAAATCACGATGATTGCAGCAGAAGAAGAAGTTAGTCCCACTATACAGTATATCAATGTTTTTAAATAAGCCATAAAAGAAAAATCACACTTCTGGGTGAAAGGTGAGACAAAGACAACAAATTAATGGTTATATAAAAAGAAGAACACCTGGGCTGACGCAGAAACCACAGAAACTTAGTGCGAAAATAAAAAGGCAGATAGAACTGCCAGTTATCTCTTCACCCCACGCTCCCAGCTGTTTGACTAGATATACGAGCGTTGATCTCCATCTATCACACATGATGGTTTATGTACCTTCTTTTTATGTGCGGCGAGGACAGCGTGCAGTTTCTCCGGGTGTTGGTAGCCATTATCAGTTAGCACGTAGAAATGAATGTCCACGGTTCGTTCTCCTCTGTCTGCTATGCTGAAAATGTTGATACTCCCCGGTCTGACGGACAGCGTTTCAGACAGGAACTCCCAAAACATCTCAAGCCGACTCTTCACCTCGATTGGAGAATCAATAAAGTCTCTCGCTGTAATGCCTTCAGCAGACAAATGAAGAGGGGTTTTACACAGAAGAAACGTCTGACTCATCAAGGACCACAAAAGAGTTGATCACAGTCCTGAAGGGAGATCCTTCTACTATTAGCACGAGTAACACGCCATCCCACTTTATACACCCTCTTCCTAAATGAATCACCAAATTCAGTCATAAAAATCTATAGTTTCCTCATGAAATAGAGTTAGGGGTGTTTGAAAGACTGTCGTGCAGAAAATATATGAATGACTAGCATAATCAATAACATCAGTGGTGCCACCCTCCAATAATATGTGGAGAATGTTGACAGTCATCTTTAATCTTCAAAAATGATAAGGCCTCGGATCCAGAGGCATCAATAATGGTCTTTGACTCTTGCCGAACGCCTTTTAAATGTCAAGGACTTTACCTGACACTTCCAAATTGACCTTTAGAACTCCAATTTGCTGCGAGAG